AACAATTATTTTTCATTTGGTTACATGTACTTGTGTCTCGCAAAATTAGTATATAAGAATGTAACTTTCCCTAATCCGGCAATAAAAGCATTAGCGTTCGTTTTAACCTTTCCAAGGTGCACATAAAACATGTTTACTACATGCTTTGTACTAATTGTATAATCTCAATTATAAGAGATAAATAATAATTGCTACGCTCATGAGCGTTGGAGCAATCGAACTTATCCCTGATTTGCATGCGCTACAAATATTTTTATATTTATCTTCGTTCGGTAACATTAAGATCGAACGCGCAGATCTCTCACTCGCTACAAGTGTCAATAGTTAATTATTAAGATCAGTCCTTGAATGGTAACCGTAACCTTGGTACCTCCGCGCACACAGTTTTTCCAATTACCAACATACAGTTATACCCCATTGACATTATACGTTGATTTGTCTTCGAAAGAAACGGTTAAGGGTTAACCAGATTTCATCTCGTTTTTATTTTTGTGCTTTTTCTCTCCTATACTATTTTTTTTTATCATCTTCGTTTTATTGCTGCAAAGTCGAGAGGATTAATCATCTAAAGTACGCTCGGGGCTCGTTGCTAATATGCACACAGAAAGAATGAAGGAAAGGGCAAAAAAAAAGTGATATAGCTGCGACATTTTCCGCGTAGATTGTCAACAGATGGTGGGTTTTTCTGTTCCATTTGAGCATTAGCACCCCCTTTATGGTGGTGCATCAACATAAACTGTGCACGATGTGCACCAGTTGTGCGTCGTGTTCGGACCGACGTTCGAGGGTTGCTTTTGCCATTCATGGCCGAGCCAATAATCCACAATAATATAATAAACTCGCTCCATAGATTTGCACGCCTCGTTTGAATAAATCGCATTGCTTTTATTCACTAAAACCGAACTGTTTTTAAATAAATCACTTTCGACGTATTGCGTATTACAAAATCATTTTTGATTTATGCATAACTATCGGATAACAATATGCAGACTCCCTAAAAATATTACAAATATGCTATTTATTATATTATTTCATAATTAATGGAAAATCAAGTTTTAAATTCATTATAGAACACTGATCATTATCAGTAAATATTATAATATTGTTACTATATAAATGGAAATAGAGGAATTTATGCATTAAACACAAATATAAAATATTGATTAGGGTATAAAGTCTAAAATCAAGAGCAACTTTATATTAAACCTTTATTTATTTATAATAAAAGAAAATTTCACTTTCAACAAAACTATTTAAAATCTATATGTATTCTAAAAATATAATAATTCATTGGTTTGACGACTGACGTATTTTTATCATAATATTTGATAAATTATTATAAATATTTATGAATAATTTTTTTTGAAACTATGCAGACATTTAAGGAATTCCGAAATCTCTATTACTAAAATACATTGATTTTATTTTTAAAAATGTTGGTCATTAATCTAAAAATTGATACGGAACTGTGCAATTATCTAGGCAATTTGAAAATAATAAGAGGAGATCGTGCGAACTTTTGAACAGATGACGCAAGAACTCGATCTATCGATAAAGATGTAAATGATGCATTGATTTCGTATATCTAAGTAAGCACTTTTGATTTGAGATTATGGAGTACGAGACGTAAATTGAGATATTCAAAGGAGGTGCAAATCAGAACCGAAATAAAAATAATCATGTAGTACTCGTTTCTGATAAAAAAAAAAGAATGTTCAATCATCGTTATTATTGGATTCAGAATTATTAATAAAGTATTGATTTTTTATAATTGTTATAAATATCATTGAAATATTGACAACCTACATGTTTTCAATTAATATACATATTAAGCAGATATTACTACAGTAATTCAGACGAACACATTTGGTTTCTCAATTTAAATAGTGACATTCTTCAATTGCATCGAATATTGTTTGTACGATTAATTATGTTTGTTATTGATTTATAAACAGATATTAATAAAGCAATTTGTGTTTTAAATGATCACATAATAATGCTAAAATTTGAACGAGGGCAGTTTTTTTAAAGTGTTTTTAACTGGTGTGTATTAATACATTTGATGGTTATCACTTGATAACTTTATGGACCAATCAATTAAGAAGGTTTAACTGGCACCCTTTAAACCTGCTAAAGGAGGTCTGTCGGAGGATGTTGGGGGGTCAGAGCCTTTAATATTCCTGGCTTTAGCATTAAAGAATTCACAATGGTGTAGGCACTTTGCTCGCGCGAGAGGCACACGGGGTTAAAAGCATCCACCGCATCCATGAATAAGTAATGGATTGGTTGCGAGGGGTGGCGGAGAAGGAAGAGGAGGAGGGTGGTATGGCTCAGTCAGGCAACCCAGCAGTACGGAGACATTTACTAAATGGACCGGATTACGGCGGTGTCACCCTCGCTACAACCCCACCGAAAATGTAATGATACACTTAGATATTCTCTGCTGCTTGTGGATATGTATGTGTGTATTTATATATATATGTGTGTGTGGATGTGAGTGTTTGTGTATATGTGGGGTGGTTTGCGCGTTTGGGGACGGTTTTTGAGCGACCCAGGGGCTGCGTAATAGTTTGCCAGCAAAACAAGTGGACCCAATTCAATTAGTATCGGAGATTAACACCAATCTGGCGAGCGATGACTCTTTCCGGGGGTTTTGTTCGATTATATCGCCTTTTATCCCTTTTTCCACGGGTGTCTTAATACCAGCGAATTGCAAACAACCCAACAGATCCACTTGATTTATACAAATATCCAATGTACAAATGAGTTAAAGCTAACTTCATTTCACATATTTTACTTCTACAATATTCAACATGTTATATTTACAGGTTAAAAAAAATTGTAGAATAATCCAGTTTCTGTTAAATCAAGTATAAAGTATAGAGAAAGTAACTGTAAAAGTAGCAATTAACGAATGTAATCATAAAGGTTTTCAAAGGTTAATGAATATCTAAAGTAAAGAATCCTATAATAAAATAAACAATACAACTTTTAAAACTATATAAATTGAAAATTGAGTAATATTTTCTGGAACAATTTTATATTCAATACATATCTTAGGGCGAATAGCAGAATGGCTACCCACGATCGAATCGGCGCCGGTTCGAATCCTGGTTATGCCAAGTCCCTTGTGAGCCCTATCGGTGCTTGCAGCAATAAGGCCATCGTTCATCACAGATGGACAGTCAAATGGATGATCTTCAGCCAAGTCGATGGACAATGATAATGTTAAGGATAGCAGCAGATTCACAGTGAAAGGAAATAGTGGAATCGCAGAGCATCAATATACTACTGAAGTTAACCTACAGAACGACAGCTAACAAACAAATTCAAATCAAATCATCATAATGGTAACTATCCACCGGGAAAGATTATCCATTTAATGTCAACCGCGATCTTAAATTTAACCAATGTTCACATTGATGAACAGATTGTGAATAAAATTATGCGACATAAAAAAAATACATATCTTACATCAACTGTTACTTCTCTTTTAGGCTTGGATCGAATAATATTGCGTACGACAATATTAGTTCCTCGGATTACCATGTATTATAATCTTTACAAAAGAGCTTTTATCGATGAAAATCAATTCGTTTCAGATCGTCAGAAGCACGTTTTGCCTTTGCAAATAATATTAAATATGTGAAAGCAGGAGGCAAAAGTGATTGTATACATACAAAGCTATTGCCTTTCCGACATATTTTAATTAAGTTATATATATATACATTGTAACATTCACATATTTAAAAAATAAAATATATTTACATCATCATTCTCAAGAAAAAACATTACAAAGTACTATTGATTATAGGTATTGTTCTTCTACTATAGTCCTTTTATCAATCCCACTTTGTCCTCGGTGAGTTATGTTGTCTGTTTGCAGTAGAATTTTTTAATAAGATGATACAATTAAAAAATATATTACATTGTTTCGATAAATACCTAAAATATACAAAATTAGATTTTATTTTAATTACAAATATAAATAAAGGTAAACATTATCTTACATGTTCTTCTTTTTTTAATCTAAATTAAGATAATAAAGGTTATCAAAAAGGAATTTACATTAACAAAAATCTGAGTTAATATTGTTAAAAATTAAAATAATCTTATTTCCTCACACTATAGATTGTTTTGTTGAGTATACTTCTGCATAATCATGTATTTAAATTTTAGACGAAAGAAATTTTAATTTTTAAACATAAAAATAATCTTATATTATTTAAAATGTATAACATTTTAATCGAGTTTATTCTTAACTGTACGCACTACAAATCAACTTGTTAAACTATAAAGCAAAGAAATAGAAGATGAGATTTATCGCTCGCTGAAGAACGTTGCTTTGTATAATTCAGATTAATGATTTCATTCTTGACACATTGCGTTCTCTCATCCTACCTTCGCTACCTGCGCCGTACTTTTCTTTCTCTTTTTTTTGGTACGTTGGTGCGTCCGCTTCCGGTTTGTGTTTTCGGCGATTGCATAATGTATGGAATCCGAATGAGGAGAGCGCGATTGTTCCGAGCTTAACTACGTTAGGGGCAGGCGTTTGAAGAAGATTCGCGTCGAGTTCTAACCCAGATTAACCGAGTCAAATTTAATAATGCAAGGATCGGACTCCAACATCTTTCGGTTTCCTCCCCGCAGAGAAATAAATAATAACCGGGGAGAGAAACGCGGATCGGGGGCGGCTCCGGATTTTCTTTTGTCTTCTTTCGGCAAACGGCAGAAGAAGCGAGTGAAATATAAAAATGTCAGCGGAAGTATTTGCCATAAATTTTGTGAGGTCTGCATTTTTCACGGCATCGCGGTATGAAATGTAATCAATAATAAAAAAGAAATTTCCTTTGTTTTATTCTTTGCAGAATTTGATCTTTTAAAATTTAGAATTCAACTTATTTCAATTGTGATTGTCAAGGATAAATTTATAAATATATATTTATACTCATGATATATAATTCTAAAGAAAATAAGAAATAATTCGTAGGATTAAAGAAAGGTTTAACCAGGATTTAAAGATTACTTACAGATATATCAACATATAATCTAGTTAATCATTGAATTGACATATAAACTAATATGTTGAATGTTATAGAATTCATTGTATTGTGAACAATTGAATAAATTGGATAATAAGAATAGATCTAAAAATGAAGCAAGTGGTAACAATCGAATTGTGGACGTAAATGAAAATTCGTGACACGTGGCAATGTTTTTATGAAACAATTCGTAATTTTCAATTAGAACTTTTTACATTTAATATTCGTTTACAAATAAGTATATTTACGGTAGAGACGTGGCACAGGAAAAACAAAGTACTATATCTCACTTCCTGTGATCAAACAAATAAAAAAAACTAACGTATAGAGATTAATGTTTGGTTAAAGTGAGTTTCAGTGGAGGCGCGAGAAAAGTGTCTCGATAATTTATTGTCAATAAAAGGGAGAAAAATATTGTGCGGTTGGTGTAGAAAATGAAACGGGCGAGATATTGATGATAAACAGCCAGCATATATACATATATATATATATGTATATATGTATAGATGTCCCCTGTTCGCTCTTTCTATATATATAGATATATATTCATCCCTTTTTTGTATATGTATATATCTGTACACAGCTAGAAGACTATAAAAGACTTCATTTAGCATCCCTTTTGCGTCGCGAGGCAAAGTGGAAGGGCTTTTCGAGTAGGGGGTGAATGGGGCGTCGCGACGGGCCCCGCCCTGCGCCAATCGGAACGAGGGTCGGGTACCTCGAAGGGCGTGTTCAACCCTCGGGAAATTGAAAAACACACCGACGCCGGCGTATCGATGCGGCGTCGAACCTTAGTTGCATATTGACTAGCGAGGAGCGCACATATTTTGCGATGATCAATCGTTTGGAACGTGAACCCGGACAATTGGATATAGAGATGTTTCGTGTGCCACCGATCTCTATAGATGATTTCCCAGAAATCCTGCTGTGTATGTTATTCATTTATTATATTTGTATATGGTATTTATATTGGTTTTTATTTATTTTAAGTTTAGTTAGGAAGGTTTAAATAGATGGATACCTCGTATTTCAAATTAATTCTGTATTTGCTTAGTGAATATTGTCTCCCTGTTATCAAATAAGAAAGTAATGACTAAAAAGTACAAAATTATTTTGTAAATTGAATTAAATAAAATCAACCAGTGTAGTTCTCAGGAAGTTAACATTGAAATTGACAAACGATTATATAATACTATTATTTTATATCTTAAAATTGGTTGGTACAAGAATGATATATATTATATATTTAGTCTATGGACTAATGATGGATACTACTGATTGCTATATACTAATATGTTAAATTGTATATAACTGTAGTGATTTTATATGTATATTTGATGTTGACGTTTGTGATATTGTTTCAGCTACGATACCAAAATGCGGAGGATGTCATGAATTGATATTAGATAGGTTTATACTAAAGGTAGCTGACAGGACGTGGCACGCGAAGTGTCTCCAATGCAGCGATTGCAGGGTACAATTAACGGACAAGTGTTTCGCGAGGAACGGACAGTTATTTTGCAAAGACGACTTTTTCAAGTAAGTATCTATTGCACACTAGAGAGTTAGATATTGGGGTATTTAGTAATCGCGAATCGGATGTAAACAGTTGTTCAAATCGAGGTCCAATCATTTGGAACTGTTTCCATTGAGACGCGAATAAAAAGTGCCATACGCATCAATCGGCCATTGTTTCGATGTCCTTGTATATATGTGAAGTCCTGTAAAGGTGTAACAATGACGATTGTTTATGTGGCGCTGTGGGTGCAGACGATTCGGTACAAAATGCGCTGGTTGCGAGCTGGGCATCCCTCCAACCCAGGTCGTCCGGAGGGCACAAGACAACGTCTACCATCTACAGTGTTTTGCGTGTGCGATGTGCGCCCGTCAACTCAACACCGGAGATGAATTCTACCTCATGGAAGATCGGAAGTTGGTCTGCAAACCGGACTACGAGGCTGCCAAAAGTAAGGGTAAGTCCCTGAATTCCATTCATCATTTTCCTCATATTCATTCAAATTAATAAACTTCCTACCTTATAATGAAATATAAGCACCACTTATATTCTTGTTACTTCTTTCAGCGGCGGAATGTTTAGATGGTGATCAGCCGAATAAGAGGCCGAGGACTACGATAACAGCAAAGCAGTTGGAAACCCTTAAAACAGCGTACAACAATAGTCCGAAGCCAGCAAGACACGTCCGTGAACAGTTGAGTCAAGATACAGGATTGGATATGCGGGTGGTGCAAGTGTGGTTCCAAAATCGGCGAGCGAAGGAGAAGAGATTGAAGAAAGACGCCGGTCGAACGAGATGGAGCCAATATTTCAGATCGATGAAGGGCGGTTCATCGCCTCGGCACGATAAGTTATTGGACAAAGATGATATGAAAGTAGATTTGGATAGTTTTAGCCATCATGGTAAGTGCATTTTACTTACGTTCTTGATTTTTTTACTACATATATTTTGTACCCAAATACAGATTTGAGTGATGATAGCTATGGAACAGTTGTAAACATGGGAATGGACCAAGATGGTTCTTCTCCTCATAATGGGAGAGGACCATCGTTTCTTCACGGCGCTGCCTCACCTCCTTACTTACCAGGACACACTCCTCCACACGGTCACGAGCACTTCCCCTATCCAGATCAGCTCTCTGTTTACAATTCAATAGGTAGTGTAACAAAGCCCATCCTTTAATTATTCTAACCTTGGTATTCAACTTGGAATTGGTTTCAGGTCAAGCCCATTCAGCTGGAATGGGTATGGCCCATGGAATCCCACCGGGCGCCGACACAGACATCAGCAATGACAGCAGTCCTCGGAACTACCCAGATTTTCCGCCGAGTCCGGACTCGTGGCTCGGCGAACCGTCCAGCGCTCATTACTGACCCAATGAAATTTTATTTATTGATATTTATATTATTCATGTACACATTTTCATTTCAAAGTTCATGTATGTCCTCATGATTGCATGCGCGTCGCTGCTGAAATGCAACGACTCAAAGTCACAGTCAATAACAACGCGTTTTTCGAAACAAATGTACAAATTAAACTCATCCCTCTTAAGCACAAACACTTGTTATTGACTGTCACTTGGGATTTGAAAAGAAGAGATAAATGAAGAAAGAGAATACTAATTTTATCGCTGTATAGTATTGTTCTAGTCAAATGAATCTAAACAAAAAAATAATAATAATTATATGTGTCCGTTTACCATTCTAGTCGTCAAGTATTGTTTTAATTTTAATAAATTAATCTAACTTACTTTTTATTTATCCACCACCTTGTTTTCTTTTTTATTTTCTTGTCGATACTTTATGTGTCAATTATTTAAGAAGAATTATTGAGATCTGTACATAAACCACCAGTTTGTAATATATATGAAAAGTAATGTGTATTTGACATATTTCGAAGATATCAAAATTGTATAAATTACTACTAGTACTCTCGAACAAAAGTTAAAATTTCTTAGACAAAGTGATACAATTAACACTAACTGAAATAAAATATTAGTAATCCAATGTTTACATTATTTTCTTGTTTTAAATAAAACTAGAAAAGATGAACAATCTTTTTGAGCTTGCCTTTATTTACAAATATATATAAATAATTTAATAAATAGCTAAGCTATAGAACAAATACATTCATTTTAATATTAATAGAAATATATCATATTTCAAATAAATTTGAGGCAAAGTATGCAACCCAAATAACATAATCTGAAAATTCGATATTTCGATTGAAATATAAATTAAATTTAATAACGTGAGTATAGAATATTAGGATGGAAATAATATGAGAAATAGTTTTCAAACAGTTTTATTGTTTTTTTTTAATATGCATCACTATTTAAATAATATACAGCCATTCAGGCTAATTAAAGCTCTGTAGTGGTAACTCCCCAATACTGTTGCATGCGATCCAAATCCAAGGAATCAACTAAACCTCGTTCTTGCATCACTGCAAAATCGTATTCGAGATTGTAGGGCATCAGACGTTGAAGGCTTCCAAAATATGCGGCATGGGGTCCACCGACCAATTTTTTATCCAAAGATAATCGTGAAGCAGGTCTAGAAACTATTGGATTGAAAGATCTTGCACTTCCAAATTGTCTAGATAAAAAAGATCCAGCTGCACTGGAAGAGCTCCCTAAATCTGGCAAGTGAGGGCTACTACGCGACAAAGTCGGATTTTTACTTCTCAAACCTTTATTTAAAGTATTCAACTCTTTATCGAACAAGAGCTGCGTGTTCTGTTCAAGCATATACTCCCAGCATTTGAACTGTTCCTCGGACATTGCCGAATCCGTTTCTTCCCTTGCTTTATCCTCTTCTCTGCGCGCTCTCAAAGCTTTAGCGACTCCCCTGTAACTTCGCCTCTCTGGAGAAGCCTTTACTTCTGCAGCTTCGAAATGTGAAGGTGTTACTGATCTCAATGACCTAATTTCATTTTGTTTATTAAGTTGGTTTATAAACAGCTTTGCCGGTGAATTGCAATCGCTACAAGCGTGTTCGCTTTGTCCACTTGGAGAAGATCTATCATCATGCACTAGTATAGGCATTGTCAGTTTCTCAATGCAATTTACACATTCATTGTTCAAAGCTTCACAACAGCAACCAGGTTGACACGAATTTGGAATCTCGCTCTGAAATTTGTTCTTTCTGATAGTTTGCCTGAGCTCTTTCATGAGCAAATCAACATCCGAACCAATCAGATTAAATTTAACCACTATTATACTCAGATTCTCTTCAGCACCGTAACTCTGAGCCAAATCTTGCAAACGCTTAGCTGCCAAAATGACATTTCTCTGCAGACTGACTTCTTTTATAGCAGTTTCTGGGTTCATTACGTCCCAAAGATTTTTATTTGCAATGATCATGTATTCGTCCTGCTCATCCAAATATATTTCCGTAACATCAGGGTCAGGTACCATTAATTGTAATTGAGGATTGGTGCGAATTTGTTTCCTTTGTTTGGTAGGCAATAAACGGATGGGACCTGCAGATCTTCCAAGAACCAGCCTAGCTTCTCCAACACTGGATATTCTCATCACGTACTTTTTTACTCCTCCGCAGAAGGAATAGTCCGCATTCACTTTAGACTTTAAAATGTGAATAATAATAGCATTCATCCCATGCTTTTGTCCTTTATCTCTTAATTCTCTATGCGCCGAGAGCATCGTGTATTTCATGTAATCAACTGATGTTTCTTTAACGGTTCTCTCCTCTAAGAGAATTCTTGGTACGACTTTCTCCACGGCAACCGGCATATCGCTGTTGTTCTCCCCATCAAAAATACCAAATAAGCCTTCAGTGTTGCAAAATGCGGGCAATCTAATCTGAGACACATATAATCGCTGTTTGGAACCTGATGTTTCGGAAAATCCGACGCTCCAGCAAGCCTCTGTCAAATCATTCTCGCAAAACGGAGATGGACTTACTGGTAAACTAGTTCTATTCTTACCACTAACATCCACCAAACTCATAGGTCTTTGAGTACGATAGTTGTGAAATTGTTGAGAATCAACATGCAATTTGGTGTTACAAGATAAATCCAAAAACTTCAAATTGGGTGGAATCAAAGCGGACAAATCAATACGATCCAATTGGTTGTGCGCAAGATCTAACACTCTTAAAGCAGTCAATTTTGAAAGTTTCGGTATATTTTGCAATAGATTTGAATGTACTCGTAGAACACTCAAGTGCCTCAATTGGCCAATATTATCTGGTAATTTGAGTAATTTGTTCCCGGAAAAAACGAGCTCCTCGATTTCATTCCAGTAAATTGAGCAATTCTCGGGCATCGCTGTGAAATTATTATAAGCGGCATGCAGTATACGTATGTTCCTCAAAAACCTGCATATTTTATCCAAAGCCCTATCAGATAAACAATTAGCCGTTAAGAATAATTTTTCTATTTTCAACTCTTGATCCGGCTGTGGCAAATCGCACAATCTGTTGTTGGATAGATTTAACACTTTAATGCTGTTGACGCACTTGAAGAAATTCTCTGGTATATTCGACAAACTGTTGTTTTGCAAGAACAGCTCTTGTATTGGTAACTTCCTCTGTATGCTGGGTAAATGCTGCAGATGATTATAAGCCAACTGTATTGTGTGCAGGTAAGGCATTTCGTTGCAAAATAGATGATCGGGTAAGAGCTTCAAATTGTTATTACTTGCAAACAAAGACCTCAACTCCTGACAACCCGATAACCAATCGGGCAGAGTTTCCAATTCATTGTACGAAACATCCATATGCTTCAAATTCAAAGGAGGTGAGGTTGCATTCAAATATTGAATCCCTGAAAAGAGCGAAAGTGCTTAAAGAAATTCGGATACGCAACACGAGGTAACTCACTATTATTTCCGGCGATTATCGACGTCAGATTTTTACCATAAAGCGTTAAATTCGTTAAATTGTTGCGAGAGCATTGCAAGACTTGCAAATGTTCGACGGCTGTTAAATCCAAACTTTCGATATTGTTTTCGCTCACATCTAATTCCGTTAGACTCTGAAAGGAGAATGCATAATGTAGTACTTCACTGTTGGATAGAAAACACTGAATTATATAATACTTACGCCATAATTGCCTAAAATGATGTTACCCTTCAAACGATTTCCTCTCAAATTCAAATTTGTCAACACGTTCGTTTTCGTGGAATTTTCGGGTTTATATTCAGTTTCCTACAAAATCAAATAATTAAATTTATACTTCAATGCACATTCATTTCTTCAGTCTGATTACTTTATTAATATAAACTGCTTTTACTTCATTAACATTGACCGTTCCGAATTACAGCCAATTAATAAAATTTAAAAAAAATGTAATAATATTTCATTGTTAATTAATAATTAGTTTTGTTAATCGAAATATGTTATAGACAACTGTTAAAGTCATGTGATTTTGTGTAATGTAGGTTTGTGCGGTGATAATATTATATTAGAAGCTTACTGGAAGGACGAGGGCTCTCATGTCTGCAAATTTGTCGGGCGGAAGGGCCAACCTGTTCTGTGCAATCCGTAGCACCTTCAAGTACCTCAAGTCCCATACAGTGGCCGGCAATACACTTAGCACATTCTGATCCAAGACAAGTTCTTGCAAACTGCAAACGGAAAATGAAAGTTGAAACGCAGGATGCACAAACGGGACGCGGCAAGGACGTTTTATATCTCCGTCAGGATTTCACCAATTTACATTTGGGTTCGTACGGATCGTTTCTACTCGATGCGTGTTCAATTGATTTTTGGATTAGTTGATATATCCATTTCGGTTTAATATCTTCTGTTTTGGAGGATAAGCTGCAGACCGAAACAAGAGGCGCACGAGTTCTGAAAGCCTCCCGACGATCGCCTCCTCCCAGGTTTCTTTACTCTTTTTTTTTAATATATGCGTTTCGGTAGGCTAAGAGCCCGTGAAAGAAACAACGGAAGTTCATTCATCGCAGTTTTCTATGTTTCTAGTGCTATACTCGCTTATTTATCTTTTCTTAGTAACACCAATGAACCTAAGTAAATCGAATAAATACATATTAAGCATTCACCTCATAACAATTCTGTCAAGTATATACTTCACAAATATACAAATTTATACTGTATCAATTTTATAATGAAAAAAATTGGAATTCAGTTTCAAATATTTGCAATCTAATTATTATATGATATTAAAAGATTTAAATACATTTTTTGATTCAAAATAGTAAAACTTGTAAATAATCATCTACAAATAAATTGATTTAGTATGTTGAATAATCAAAACAAATTTAAATCTCCAGACTCTTCTATATTTAACAGTTATTACTATTCTATATCGCAAAAATTTTAAGCCAGAATAATTTTCTTATTAATAGAAAGCGCTTATATTAAACTCTATTATAAATTAAGTGAAAGACTTAATTCCATGAAATAATAAGATTACATTTTTTTTTATTTTGAAATTGATCATAATGAACACCTTCACAAAAGATCTTAGATAATATCCACACTAATTGACTATCGATCATTGGTGTAGACCATTATACAACACACTCCATTGTTTTACAGTCGTTACGCGAAATGCACTTATTATTTCGTTTCAAAATTGCTACGAAAATTGCGATAACATAAACGCAGAACAATTAACTTATATAACGGATGCTCAACAATACAAAAGCCGAAGTGAAAGTCTTATCACAGAAAACAATACTATTATATTAATATAATTATGATAAACTTTTCAAGACTTTAAGAAATGTTACAATCAATACAATTCGATACTTCTCAAAACAATGAAAATTACGAAATTAAGTTGTTTGTATCACATGTACATTCGAAACTCAGATTATGCATAAGCACCGAAAAGGTAGGATAAAAACAGCCTTAATTATAAAATCAAAATTAATTTCCAATGTTTTTGACAAGCATAATTTAATGTAATTTGTAATAATCATACTATCGATTTGGAAACATTTTATGCGATTCAAGGAAATAAGTGATTTTCGAAATAGTGAAAATAACGCTTTCCACCAATGTTCGTAATATTAATCTTGGGCAACAAGCTACGTCTTGGCTAACGAATTTCAAGAAGCGGGTCAAAGAACTATAATTATCTTAAAAAACATAAAATTACTTACTTGATCAACTTATTTATCTCGGTAGGTATGGTGAGTAAATTATTGTTGGAGAGATCAAGGCACAAAAGGGAAACTAATTTTAGGATGCTCATCGGGAATGCTTGAAGATCGTTAGACCTGGCGCTGAGCACACGCAGGTCCTGCAACGTCCTCAGAGATCTTTCCGGTAAAATGATATCCTCCACATAAAGCATGTCCTCCCTATTATTGCCTTTCTGGCTTCGGTAAATCCCGTCCAGATTTAAGCTGCGCTGATTAGTTTGTCGAATTACAGTCTCATTGGAAACATTCGCATTATCCTAAAAGAAAGTAGCGAATTCATTAATTACATAAATTTTAAAACATTATTTATTTACCAAAACATGTTGTTCCTCTTCAACATTCACCGATTGCGCCTCGAGCGAATCCAATTCGATGGTATCGCATTCGGCGACGGTCTGCAAATTCCTCCTCTGCAGATCGATCATCCTGGAAGATTTTTTTGGAGCACAGGATGCGGCGAGAAACATTACAGACTGCAGATTATCGGGCACGGCACGAGCGGGAAGAAAATAAATGGAAAATAAGTAGAAAAGATGGAGAAAAAAAACAACGCACTTCGCACGGATAAAGAAGAACCTTTGGGTCGACAAAGAGAAACCGAAAGAATGGAAGGAAACTATTTTCGTTTTCGCCGTTGTTGTACCAGAGTCATTGTAATTCTGGTCTACTGATGTCGACGACGAAGAGCACAATGGCATGACAAATACATGCTTGGATTCATCCGAGTTGCCACTCACGTTTCACGATTTATTGGAAATTATTTAAGATCCCGAACCTGAAAGGGACTTTTTTTTTCTGAGCGGTTAAAGAAAGCATTAACAAAATAAGTATAAAGCGTTAAAAAAATATTTAATTTCACTTTATTATTAATTTGCTGCTATTAACATATAATATGTTTTATAACTTATCGAGTGCTGTGTTTAAAAAAATGTAAACAATAATATGTATTCATGTATTCGGTAATTAACGGAGATATTGTAACTAATCCTCTACAATTTTCCGTTATCCGAGTGTGCATATGACACAGTGCATGGTTTCGTGTGCCGTTAAATTGCTAAGATTTATATAAACTAATGTAAATAGAGCTGCTGGATAGTTTACTCCAATTTGAGAAAATTTCTTAAGCAATTTCGCGCAGCGATTGTCTCTAACAAACTAGAACTGCAAATATCCTCAATCGTGTATTTTCCCTTTGCATTTGCAAGTGGCTCCGCAGGATTTTCTCCTCGTCTGACCAAGGGTAGATTCCGTGTGACAAAGCCAAGTCGGATGAGCCATAAACAGTTCCCGACAATTTGACCAATTGTCGGCAAATGGACAGGAATTTGTGCACAGTTTATTCCTGAAGCAGGAACTTTTGCAATTCCTGCAAGGTTTACCGCTTCTGTAAGGTATACCTAATTTTTTACCATAATTTCCACTAAAATAATATAAATTTAACATCGAAAGAAGATAACTATTAAATACATTACATGGGGCAATAGTTGCAAACGTAATTGTAATAATTAATGCCCGTCTTGTTTCCAATCCTATTGCATTTCGTTAATCCGCATCCAACTTGATGCGTCGACGCCCAAACCATCTGGGTGTAATGTCCAACCACCAAAATATCATTATTTTTACTACCATACGTAAAATTGTCTTTTTCCAGAAACCATGATTTTATAGCGAAAAGCCTTGAAAATAAAATTTACATATTTTACATTTTGATAATCTTCCGAGTTATTTACCAGGGGACTAAATGTGTGGCAACAAAAATATTTTGTCCACAGGATCCGTAATTATCTACATATCTTCCAGTAAGGTTATCATGTGTTAAGAACATACACTCACTGGCCCATTTCTGTGCAGCCCTAGCAGCTTTCTTATTCCATTTCTGAAATATTTAAATATTCCTATCAAATGCAATATTAATAATTTAAAACATCAGCATATTCATATTCCTATTATATAATGACTACATTAATAAAGCAATGATTATATTTCTGATAATCACGCACCATTCTCAGCATATTAGAAGCCCTCGGGACTACCCTTGCTCTAAACTGGTTGTGGTACATCACAATCTTCCTCTTAATTGGATGCTTAAAAGGATGCACCTTCGCCATGGATAATCTGTCTCCCATAAGTTTGGGTCCTGCAAGAGTCATTACATTTAAATCAGTTCTAAAGAATTAATGAACTTACGTCTATCGTTTTTCCATGCGGATCCCTCGATATAGAACAAATACACGAAGCACACGGAGAAATAGAGCAACTTCCGTAACATCGCTGCTTCGCCTATAGCTTTTGAAACTTGAATGACCGAATTGCAATGATGGTTTTGTTTATTTTTGCTTTTTTTTTGTCTTCCGTTTGTAATTTGTTTATCTTTCGGTTCTTTGTAAATGAAATTCGCGCGTTACTTCGCACTCAATAAATCCTTTTCGCAGAGCGCGCGCTGCTTTTCTAATTACACATGTATTATCATATGGTATGGACGTGCGATGTTTTTTTTTCGTATCAATAATATTTTCATTGTGCTGTGGCATGAATTCGCCAATTTTTTATTTTGCCTGTTCGCCTTCTCAATTGGTTTAACTGAAAATGTTCGGACGTCCAGCCAAGAATCCCATACACTCCGACATCATTAATTGACCTAAGAATGAAATATGCGTTAATTGACCTCATTCCGTTTAAACAATTTCCTACAAAAAGATTGAGAATCTAGGTCTACTCCTTGCCATATGAGTTTCAGTATACAAAAAATGACTAAATTTACGGATAATAATTAACCGTAAATATATTTTATTTTACATTCCTTCAAAACATTTTTTTTTTAATTTCTCTTTAAAATTACATGAAATTACAGTTACAGTTTAATTATATAAATATTTATAAATATAGACTTAATAATTGTAGCTTATGTAATTATCATTTCGTACAGTTTGTTTGAAGTATTTAATTTTAGTATCGCTTTGATTCAGCAGTGTTAATAACGAGTATTTGAAATGTAGAAAAGTCTATTAGCGATTTTAAAAATAACGTTTACATAAATTTTATTATTATTGTTGATTCATTTGAATTCATGAAAATTATATATCGACAATAATAATCATGCAATAAAAACAAAATTTATAAATACTTATTTATTGCTATGACCATTTTTGTTTGTATATAAATAAATATATGATACATATTCTAAAAACAATAGTTTATATTAAACTATAATAATTATAAGTGATTAAAAATTTAATTTGAACTGAAACAATTCACTTGTCTTTTCTGAAAATAATTTTAAATTTTTATGAGGAAAATACAGAAGATCCATCTATTGATAAATAGACACACTATATAATAATTTTATAATTTGTCCTTTTTAAATGTTATGTTAAAAAGGATAAATTAATAATTAAGGTATAATACAATATACAAGAAAACGCAGAAAAATAAACTTTAAAAATTGATATAATTATTAAGCAAATGCTCCATCTCTTGAATATTTACGATCACAACTGATTTAAGAAAGTACTTAAAAACTTTGAAATAACAAGGATACTGAGAATCAAATTATAATCTTTTATTTAATAAATCGAAACATTAATACTCACTCATTGTAATTATATCAATATTGAAGTATTTATAACTGTATATATACTATACGAGATGGCGCAAGCAAAGACTTTCAAATCAACGATTTCTATAATTGTTGTTAATTACATAATTCTCGAAATAAAAAAATATCCTCTTATCCAGAATTAATTAATTTAAATTTAAAAAATATTTTCTTTTATAAAAACGTATAAATAGATATTATGAAAATTTTATTTTTACTGCCCGTAGTTAGGATACGATTTTAGAAGTTTATATCAAATTTAACACAATTGTCATTTAAACAACAATTTTATCTAATTCAATCAATTAGTCTTAATTCGTATGAAAATCTTGAAAAGAATTAATATTTCTGTTTAGACTTAAACAAACTTTACATTTGTCATAAAATACATTTGTTTGCTCTTTACGTCTAATTTCTTGCATAACTAGCCAATGATGCATTCGATCTATTCTTACATATTTAGAAGTAAGAGTAGTTATTGGGTCCTTTTTCTGAGATACTTCCTGAAAAGATGATTCAGGTCGTTCTTAATATTCGTTTATTTTTCTTCTTCTTTTTATAAAATTCCAAAAGATACGGTGAGAAGAGAAGTCCCAGATTGCGCGCCTGATACATCATTTTTAAAACTTGTGTACACATATTATGTGTATTTTTAATATGTTTCACTATAAGAGTAAAATCCGGAAATTTTGGAACGGATTAAACTCGTTAAGCGAAGTTCCACTGCAATTAAAAGAACATGTGCACAATAAATTTAATATGCAGAAACACAATTATATTTCAAATAAAGTGATTAAAAATGTTTTATGTAGAAAACAATAATTTCAATTTTATTATGTATTCACAAAAATAGGTACATTTCATTGGGAAAAAATGGAAACTTGAATGAGAAAAAAAAATAAATAATTCTTTTATTTATAAACATATAAAGCAAACATAAATTTTAGAAATAAATATTGTAATAAATTAGTCATCCAACAAATTTTTAGTATTCTCTGACAATTCGAGTTCAGTTACACGCATATCTAATTCAGCAAATAACAATCGAGTTGTCATTGTAATATCATTATACCTTTGCAAAGAATCTAATACTTCATCTGTGACAGTTTTACTTTCCTCATACGTATTCAGATTGGTAATAGTTAATTCCTCTAACTTATCAGACAAATCAGTGACCTGAGAGATATTTGGGGAATCTGCAAATGGCTTTAACTTCTCAATGTTTGCAACGAGCTCTACTTGTTTCTTCAATTCAGGATGCAGCTCCAAAATGTACTGTTTCTTGACTTCCAGCTCCAATTCACTGTCAATGTAGTTAGGGTCTAAATACCCATTCAATATTGCCATCCTCTGCATTACAGATAAAATGGTTTCTCTGCAGCTGAGGGAGGATGCTATCATTGTATGGGCTTGCAGCAGAAGTTCAGTAACCTCCTGATTCTTGGGTATATCCTTAAGTCCTTTAAAAACCATCTGTTCCAGAGCAGCAACACGCCTCTCCATAATTGCAAACACGATGTCGTCCATGGTCCCCACAAATTTGCAGAAAATAGAAATTTATTGTTGAACCATACAACTTGCTATAACTGGTGACAGGTGAATGCCAACCCATATACACCCATGAATGCAGTGTTGCTAGTTATGTCAAAAAAATATATGCGACATACACGAAACCAGGAATATTTTGGGAACGAGCAATTGGGTTAAGATAAATTGTCTATTGATTATTTGGAATTACACCAGGTCAAACTGAATAGTTTTGTTTGCAATAACAGTGCTAAAATTAGCCCTTTTCGCATTTGACAGATATGGCAGTGTTGCCAATACGCTGAAAGCGGTTGTCCATTTCTCAGCCAGTAGCGTTCTATCAGAAAAGTTTAAAGTTTATTGAAGCAGGGTGAGTTTCGCATGTAAATATAAGTCATTTCATTACAAATACTAATCGTTTGTTTCATTAAGGGTTGATTTGGTAGAACCCCGACGGCGTTGCCATGTGTCCATTTCAGCAATGGCGTCAACGTAGACTCAATGCGTTTCCTTGAAGAAATTGCAAAAGTAAATAGCTAAGTAATATTTAATTCAGCCCAACTGTAGATTCGTTTAGTTCTAATTGTTGCACTTAGTCATAGTAGCCTTGATCAATTGCATGGTATAATGTAGATTTTTTTAAAATACATAACGTATTTTAACCACGTGCTCCATTTCTCTGCCCAATCAATAGAATCCTTTTATTTAAATAAATTCAATGCAAAAAAAATCGTAGAAACGCAATTGCTGGTAATGTACCATCGAACGTACAGCTATTTTCTTAGAGCATTTAGATCGTTGAGTTTGTTAGACATTGGATATGTTTGTGTATAATTGAAATATATGGAGGAGCAAAAAAATCAATATCGCTGCAGCAGCTTCTACACGAGCGGCTGGCCGTTTCCCGCGTAAAATTGATCGCGCAATTTGTATTCTCTATTTCAACTATGCCAATTGTTACTTTTTTTTCAATGTAAAATAACGGTGTTTCGTTTGCCTAAACTACAATTATTAATCGTATTACTTTCACGTTCCTACCGGAAGTCTCATGTGGTTTAGATTATAGTTTACTGCATATTTTATATAGTTTTCTGTATATTTGTTTGCTCAATTTAGTGTTTAGTGCATTTTAACTTTGTATGCTTTTAATGTATATGTATCTATAATAATAAGTTTACAAACAAATTTTGTCTATTAAATACATATTCTTAATACATTAAACTAATATATACTATTTATTTCAACATTATAAACAGAACTTGCGCGGTGCGTTCTTTAAATATTTGAAATATCGTCATAGTATTAAATAAAAAAATATTTACATATGATTTCATACGATTGTGTAACAATTCAAATAACAGATCTATTTCGATCTATTATATTATTTTTAACAGGCTTACAATTTGTTTACATTATATCATTTTCGCGCAATGTAAATAAAGTTGAAAGAATGCTTTTGTTATGGTTCGTCACTATTATTATATAAATGTAAATTCTGCGTGTGTAGTCAAAACATTGAAAGTGTAAAAGGAGTAGTTTTATAAACGATTAATGAAACGCGCAAAATATGAGCAGAGAGAGAGAAAGAAAACTGTTGCGTAAGCATTGTTCCCTTAATTTTCGAAGAGTTCGAAATTGTGTGCAATTTACCATTAAGTACCAATAATTTAAAGTATGACTAAACCCGGTAATTGTTACCTACGTTTATCATTTTTCATTGTTAATGTCACACCGTGTGATGATGCTCTACTCATCATCATTGGCGGATTTCATTCATCTGACCTTTGGCGCACAGTGTTTATATGTGTATATAAACCACTATTTTTTGTTATATGCCTCTATCATTGGAACTCGAGAGTCTTTATACTTGCAGCCGCATTCAATTCTCACCCAGTGCGTATATCCAATTACAAATAAAAATGTGTCTTCTCTGCACAATTGCTGTGGTGAGCTGAATAAGCATTCATTTTAGATCCAATAGTCCGAAACGTTGTCTGAGATTCTCTGTGATTCGGAAAATGGAAATCTTCAGTAAGTATTTCGGTGCCACCCGACTGAAGCGAACTCACACTTTTCATCACGCGATTAATTCTCAAAATAGAGGTAATCAATATATTCAGCCACGTGGTTCGCAGTTCCAAAGCATTTGAAATTGTCACCGCAACAAAGATTTATTCAACCGTTAAACAAACATACATTTTTGTTTGGAATCGTGAATAGTACAGCTAGATATAAAAATCAGCGTTTCGGTATATAATTTAATGTAATTATCTAAAATTGCTGTTTTCCAAGGGCAACGTTTTTTTTATTATTGTTTTAGTTTCATTTGTAACTAATACTAGGTTGGCGACTGTACTTGTTTAATTTGTTTGTGGATTATTGTAGTTAGTTGTATGTATGTACTTTTCTGAAATTTTGATTTTGTTTCAGTAAACTTCCTACACGATGATTACTCAGAAATAAGGCTTTAACAGGAAAAAGGGGTCCACACCTAAACATCTACACAGCACAATTATTTTCATCAAATTTTAAATAGATTTCGTCAAATAAATTACTTCAAACATGTTAGAACCGTACGCCTCGGAATGGACATGGTTGGTCGTGGTAGGGTTTATTATTGCATTCGCGTTGGCTTTTGGAATTGGAGCCAACGATGTTGCAAATTCTTTTGGAACCAGCGTCGGTTCCAAAGTGCTTTCAATCACTCAGGCTTGCATATTGGCAACCATTTTTGAAATTGCTGGAGCCATCCTTATTGGTAACTATATACTAAAGCCCTGATCCTGTATATTTGAAATTCACCGTAAACGTCTATGATTTTAGGATATAAAGTATCCGATACCATGAGGAAGGGAATATTAGATGTTTCTGTATACGAAGATTCCGAGGTGGAATTGATGCTGGGATGCCTTAGTTCTTTGATATCTAGTGCCATTTGGTTGCTTGTAGCTACTTTCTTTAAGTTACCAATATCTGGTACTCATAGTATTGTTGGAGCATCCATTGGGTTTAGTTTAGTTGCACGCGGTACTAATGGTCTTCACTGGAAGACTCTGGGCACTATAAGTAAGATCAAATTACTTTAAATTAATTCGTCTATATTAAAATAATTATTGTTTCTAGTTGGTTCCTGGTTTATTTCCCCCGTATTAAGTGGAATAATGTCAGTGTTTATTTTCTTGATAATAAAAAACAGGATTCTACAGAGACCCGACCCGGTTGAATCCGGACTTATGTGGCTACCAATTTTCTACAGTTTTTCAATTGCGGTGAACGTCTTCTCGATAGTTCACGACGGACCAAAACTTTTATACATGGATAACATTCCGTTATGGCTGGCTGGCACTATTAGCTTATCAATTGGATTCATTTCGATGATCTTCATTTGGTTGGTGATAGTTCCGTTTTATCGTAAGAAATTAAAAAAGGAAAATTCAGTCAATTTTAATATTGGAGAATCAAATGGTAAGATGTCATACATATTTGCACATCTTTGAGTTGCAATACTTATTTTTACTTCATCTGCTATTAGATAATTCTCCGGATGGGAGCCCAAAAAAATCCAACAGAAATTCGCAGTATAGCGAGCGTCAATTAACTGTAATAACAGAAAGTACTGAGATGATTTCTTTGGATAATGACAAGGCCACGAAATATAAGTTTCCGAGTCCTGGTAAAAACAATGGTTATATAAATGGGAAATCTAAGGAGATGCCGGCAGTGAGCAGCACTACTTCGTTGTCGTGCGAAATCAATCCGTCACTGTCCCCAAATTCGAGTGGATTTCCTTTGATTATTGAAAAGAGTACCATTAAAGTAGATGGGGAGGAGAATCGATGCGTGGTCGAGCTTCCAGAGGCAGAAGAAATTGAAAACAAGGCTGTCTCGAAACTGTTTAGCTTCCTTCAGGTGTTGACTGCAATTTTCGGAAGTTTTGCTCACGGTGGGAACGACGTCAGCAATGCCATTGGACCGTTGATCGCTCTTTGGCTCATCTTCACGGAGGGTTCCGTGCAGCAAAAGGCAGACACCCCTATTTACATACTTTTATATGGAGGTGTTGGAATATCAGTCGGTCTATGGTTGTGGGGCAGGAGGGTCATTCAAACGATCGGTGAAGATCTTACCACTATTACACCTTCTACGTAAGTTTTATAAACATTTTCATCCATAAATAATATAATAATTTATTAATCCAATTGGTGAAAAAAGCAAAATCTGATGGTCTTTACTTAATAATTATATTTGTTCTGTGATGCTTCATACTTTTATCATATCTAAAAGTAACTAATCTACAATTACTTCAATACATTATATAATATACATTTTTATATACTAATACAAATACTCCAATAGATATATTTTATCAAATGAGATTAGAACACCAAAAATATATCTTTACAATCCTCCAGATATATTTTATTTTTCATATATAATTTTATACAATTTTCATTAAACAAAAAATAAGACCATTTTAAATATATAGCATATATATTGTGTTTTGGCAAGTTGATATTAATAGAATAAAATATTTTCTTTTGTACTTTCGTTAACAGGTTTGAAAAGTGTACAAATGTGAATAATTGTATAAATAATTATGTTAGGTAGTTTAACTAATATATTCAACCATCTACATGTGCTTTTGCTCTTTGTTTCAGTGGTTTTACAATAGAAATCGGTGCAGCTTTTACAGTATTATTGGCAAGTAAAATTGGGCTACCAATATCGACAACACATTGCAAGGTGGGCTCTGTAGTTTTCGTCGGTTACTTCAGTTCGTCCAAAAAGGGCGTCGATTGGAATCTCTTTAGGAATATTATTTACGCATGGGTAATAACCGTGCCCGTCGCTGCCTTAATATCGGCTGGTTGTATGTTTTCGTTACAAAAATTGATCTTAAAATAAATTCAACATACCCTAAATAATAAAATTAGTTGAAAGTCTAATATATATATATACTACTTGCCACAAGAAAAATACAAAAAAAATGTTAGTAAGTCAATGTTTTATATAGTATGTAAGGAAATATTGTACTAAAAAAAAAATGAAACCGATCAAATGAAAACATTAATTTTTCTCTTTGTACTTATTATTTTATTATCATTTTGAACCATTATATTTAAATAAATTATACATCTGTGATTCTTAAGAACAAAAAAAAAAGAAAGAATGTTAACTACAATGAAATAGGTGCCAGTGAATTGTTAATTTATTTTTTTTTCTCTTAATATTTTAATTAAGGAGGTGCGCGCATGTTTGTGAGTGTATATAATTTTTTTTTTGTAATTTATTTATAATTTTATTTGAGTTTCTTTAATTATATTTGGAGCAATTATTAAAGCGACACATTCATCATCAGTTAGGATCAATAAACATCCTTTTTTTATACAAAAAAAATATTTCCTTATTTCTCAATTAACCCTAAAATAAACAAAACTATGTACAAAAAAAAAATCATCTATATATAATTTAAATAGGTGACAAAATCAATCGTGTTTCATTCCTCCATTACTTTATGCAATGTATAATGAAACTCGATTAATTTGTATATTGAACTAGAAACCTACACAGATTTATTTATTTTTTCTTTTTTGTAAAGAAACAATATTTATATATTTATACACATATATATATTCAAACCCCAAAAAAGAAAAATGTTCTTAACGTGTTTTGTTATTACTGTATTTTGCAAATAAATCGCTTTGTTAAATACCATTTCTAAATTTTGTCACATATGAAACAATTAAGCTACTTTGAATATAATTCAGCCGAAATTTCCAGCAACAATTCTTGACATATAATAAAAGAAAAGCTTAGCTTGTACCCCAAAGATATTTACGTTATATAAATAAACTTTAAACTAAATTATGTGTCTTTATCGTCCTCTTCTATAGTCACTTCATTTACAAACGCATCGTCCTCGAAACTTTTTGTCGCTATTTCATTTTCGAATAACGCATCGTTCAAGAAAACTCCCTCTTCCACCGTTTCACACTCCACAGAATCAACGCCGGTATCTTCGAATTGCAAACACTCGCTTTCATCGTAATCTTGATCTAGCAACTCCTCCTTTATGTTGATAGTGGAATTCAATGGACTTACACTTACGGCCTTAGCTTGCAGAACAAAGTTTTTGCCTTTTTCCTGTAAATGCGAATAAGATTAATATTATTATAAATATATTATATGTATAAATACAATAGTGCAATTCATTGGTTGGTTCATAACTACTTACACTAATATCCAGGCTACTTTGTGGAACAACTTTGAGAACAACGTTTTTACCAGAAGCCGTTTTAACGAGGATTAAATTTGAATTGTTACTAACAATTTGATTAGCATTTGTGACAATGCTTTCAACCTCAGTTTCTTCCTGATGATCATCAGAACCTCTACTAGCTAATTGATTAGAATCCAACAATCCATAATGAATATCGGCTTGCCAGGGATTAAATTTCCCCCTGCTTGAATTCCCATCCAAATAGCCATTAACTAGAACCTCATTTTCCAAAACCTCCTCATAAACTTCCCCTTCACTATCATCACTGTCCTCTCTTCTACGCGACATTTTAGGTTTCCTGACTCCCACAACCTCTGTTTGATTAAGTCTCTTCCCCCTTCGGGATATAGTGAAATGATTGGGATCATATCCTTCCTTTCTCATCATCTCTGGGAGGTATCTTCTTCTCGCATTAATAAACCAGTTACTAATTTGAAGGAAAGTTAGATTCGTTTCCTCAGAGAGTATCTGTTTTTCAGCTTCAGTTGGATATGCATTAAATCTATGTTCATACAACCAGGTTTTTAGAATTTTCACAGACGTTTTTGGCAAATGTCCACGTCTTTTACCACCAAGTTGTGGTCTCCTGATCATCACTGGCTCAGTATATATATTGTTGTCACTTGGCAATTCAATCTCAGGCTCTTCATAATGTTCTTCTGAGTCTGAGTTTTCCATACTGTTTGAATGGAAGGTATCGTATTCAACATATTCATGGGCCATGGCTAAAAAAGTTAAGGCTTTTACATTAAGTCAAAATTGACTTAAATACTGAACACATCAGCCGTCAAAATGAATATGGACATTGTGGAAAGAAATCAATTCGATTGATTTGGGAATTCAAAAACAAAAACTGTTATATTTCAAAGCACAGCATACTCTGAAGTAAACATTTTGAAAATATCAAAAAATAAGCATTTTATTATTTGGATATGATATTGTAATTAAATACTATAAGAAAACAATAGAAAGTCTTCACATTCAACTAATAATATGTATAATAAATCCATACTGATTTAAAAATAATTATTACTTTCCATGTTGGCATTCATTAAAGTATGTCAATTTAAAATATGAAAATATGTATTTATAATAAGGTGTATGTTATTATCTATATCCAATAAAATAGAGACTTCATTCTAACATGAATTCATTTAAAACTTTTTTTTAAATAAGCATGATTTAAGTATATGCATATTGCAAGGGATAATGTTTCTACTTTATTGTAAAATAAAAATAAAACAAGTGTTTATAAATAATATAAGTACTGACTTATTCAATTGTTTATTGGTATGAAATGAAAAAGAGAATTCTTTGCAAAAACATATAATCAATTTGATATACAAGGATATTTTTCCATTGTTTACATACAATTGAATTGGAAGAAATATCAGGAATAAAAAAAGCAAATGCATTTTATATAGATTGTGAACCCAACCCTACAATATGGAAACTACTGATACTACTATATAGGGAGAAAATCAATAAGAATTTTATTGAAATAGCAAATCTTGTTTACAATGCAATTGTATATTGTTGATTCTGTTTGTACGATTTCCCCGTTAATCGTAACCGTGGCAATAGTAAAACCGAATTGATTGTGGATTCCATAATGGCGGTATAGAAATGTTATCAGGGCGTATGCCCACAGGAAGCAACAAAGTACAGTAACTATTGCACACAGGAAATGCACAAAATCAACAACATTTTGCGTTGCAGACTCCAGCTTTTGACCATTTGACATAAATTAGACAGAAGACGGAATTGGGGAGACGTAATAAACGAAATTTGTCATATTGGTGGTTTCATGTCAAATAAACGTCAACTGTCAACACAATACGTTCAAACGCGATTTAGTTTCCACAACACCGTCATTTTCTTTGTTTCTCACAATAAAACACTGTATCACTTACCGATAATTATATTTTCTTTCTTAAAATTAATACGCTTCAAGTCCTTAGCGACTAGTCGATAATATACAAGCTATTACGTCATCACAGCTGGGGGTTTTAACATTTTCCATTTTGGCAACATTGATTTTAAATGATCTTTTTACTTAATTTACGTACTACACTTAATACAATTATCAATGCATTTTTCATCAATCGAACCTAATAATTATAATTTAAGTTCATAAAATCACTCCAATTAATATTTTTTCTTATAAATGTATGTAACCATCATTACATACGCGCACATAAAGTTGCATATATTGACAGTTCGTAGAATAATATACAGTGTAGTTTAGTCGAACACAACTATAGTACTGAAGGAACGACTTGAAACGTTGTGGCTAATGACAATAATACCATATCTTGTTTTGGTTAATAATGTTGATTTAATTACATTACAAATATGTAAATATTTACCTACTACTAATTTATCTAATATAAGTGTATGTTTTATTTATATAAAATCAAATTTTTCTTAAAAAAAAACTTCAGGATTAACAAAATTATACTAAAGAAAAGAACTTTCGAGAATAACACAATATAATACAAAATTACATAATTACAACATATCAATACTTTTGCTAAAGTCTATGACTTTCGGCTTATATCATTTTATTTTAAATTAACAATTTTAATAGCACATATGATAGAGACTAATACTTTCGAAAACTGCTTTTATTTTCCTTAATTCTATAGTATTTGTTTTGTGCATTTAGTACAGCGCACATTAAATATTTATGGAATTTCAGTATTTTATTATTACTTGATAATACTAATATATACTTTTACTATTATTTACATTTAACATTACAAATTAATTACTAATTGCGCATGAATGAAAAAAATACGTTGAAATATAGGAATGTATAACATTGCTAATATGGGCAGAAAATACCTATCATCAATAATTTTCTTTAATAGTTGTAAAGAATAAGAATTATATGTTGCAAGAAACGTTATTATTATATATTTCAGCAGATACAACTTTTAGTTCATACAATTATTTTTTTTTTTTCATATTAATTCAGGTGATTATTATTGAATAAAGCATTTTTTTGTAAAAGTTTATAATGTTAATAATGATTTATGTTGTTAAAACTCAATATCGCCTAATTACAAACAAAAACTTATTTCATTGAAGAGTTTAATTGAAAATTGTATACAATTGCAAATATTTGCACTTATTTTAGAACTCGCAGGGAGCAGTAAACCTTAGTAAGGTGAATGTTAAAGATAGATTGAGCAGAAACGGTATAAAGTTCAATAACTCAAATATGGATGGTTAAACAATAGAGATGCAACAAGTCAAATACACCAAGTAAATTATTTATCTGGACATTCGAGTGCATCGGCTACTAAAGCCTTTTTTGAAGGGTGAGACAAAATTAACGGATTTGGACAGGATATAGCCATGGGGAGAGTTTGTTTTTAGCAAATTTTGTTATTTGTTTTGATTCCTGTTCGTTGAATCGGGTACGAAGTAATACGGGAAATACGTCGTTAGATTCGCGCGCATTTAGTCCCCACCAGAAAGCCGGTGATGCCGCAATCCTATTGGAGGACGGCCAGTCCCCACACACCCTAATTCCGTTGGTAGGATTTTCAAAAAATAAATCCTGTGGCTGGCGTTTATTTCGTCGAGCGTCCTTATAGATTATGGTTTCACGCGTATTATAATGTATTCCATAAAAGTCGACGAGTAGTAGTATTTCATTTTATTTTTAAATCTCCAAACTCGAATATGCCCTAAGCATTGCCACACCGAACTTACCCCAAGCAGAAGACGACGGCCTCACGAAATAAAAAGATTCTTAAAGTAAAGAAAAAAAAAGAAACCTGAGAGAAACATAGTGCTGTTTGTGAATGGGAAAGAATCACAACTTTACTGCTCGATCCAAGTCAGTAAGTTTTAAATTTTACTCCTTTATTTCATTCTAGTTCAGATGTAACACGCGAACGAACGGTCTGTGTTTTGGGTGGGTGAGGGTTTAGTTTCATGTCCGTTCAAATTCATGACTAGATCCACACTCATGCAAAATCAAAAGACAATGAATCAACAAGTCGCTATTTTCGATGTCGTGCATTGTGCATATTTTTTTTAGATAAGTATAAAATAAGAACGGTTATATATTGTGTAAACAATAATTAAGCAGAGGCTTACGTAAAATGTTGTTGCATTTATGTGGAAAACAGGATCTATTCAAATGTTAACAATATTAACACACCTACGGATAACAATGTTCTATAAAAATAGATAAACTTATAGCGAAAGTAGTTTTCTATACATTTAGAAAATAAAATAATCTTTGTATATGCAATATATATAATAGTGAAATTAAATTTAAAATTATATTTTTAAATTAAAGTATTTTGAATTTGAACACAAAAATGAATGAGAAGAAGTTTTGGTAAGTAAGAAGTTTTGCTTGATATTAAATTTTGAAAAAAAAACTAATATTTCAGTATTTTGCGATAAAATCATAAAATGGAATGTATAAATCTTAGATTAACTAAAAAGAAATGCAAGCGAGTTATAGTAACGAGTATCATTTTTATTGATCATTGGTAAACTGGAAAAACCTGTAGTTAATTCGATTAAAGGATTTTCTTGCGTTCGGTGCTGATTCAAAGCATGACATGGATTTCTACGAATAACAAATTATTAAACTCGACGAAAATACACACAAAATTTCACCGATTGACTTTGTTTTTAATGTGTGCCAAGGAGACGTTTTAATTGTTATTTGCAAATCGTGCAGGATGCGTCGCAGCTTTTCTTTTTTTTTAGAAACGAAATACTTGCACACCTCAAATTATTGTCATTACGATTTCCAAAGGAAACGCATTATTAAAAAAAATAAATAAATGGCGACGTTGTTTGGTAATTAGTCACTTTCCACTGTTCCTCAGGACATTTCGAAAATGCGTGCGACTTTTTATTATGTTATGTCTCTCCTTTGGCTTTGGTCTGTAGTTGTAACCTTAGTGGAGTTAAATTAATGGGTTTGTTGCTTTTCGTGTTTGTAGTATTTTTAACCTTGAGGGTACGAAGACGAAGAATATCCTCGAGCAGCGTTCACCCTTCTTATGTTTCACGCTGAGAATTAGGGGCGGCTGGTGGAAGCGGGTTTTTAAAAAGGAACGAACAGATGCTCGACAGACCCTCCATTACCTGTACTTTTTATTTTCAAAAGCTTCCCATGGAATAATTTCGCATGTGTAATTTCATACAGAGTGGCTACAAAATATATATATATGCAAAATAATACTACACTAAAGTTCAACAGACGCTGAAAACATGCGGCTTTTAGAAAGTGCATAATTTGTTTTCCATTTATTTTTATATATATATTTTATTTTATTAAGTGAAAAATAAAATCGTGCAATTGGTTGATTATTGGAAAGTATTACCAATATTGCGCCATTTTATTAACTTTCTTCAAATCAAAACTCTTCAATTTTCAATCAATTCAATTTATTTAAATAAAATATGTTTTTCTTACTTTCTTGTTTGATATATTTAACATAAAAAAAGAAAATCAATGTAAAAGTTACTTTATTATAATAAAATCGTTTATTAAGTTCTTTTAAAGTTTCATAAGTATTTAATAATACGTTCAAAGTACTTATTGTTCGTAATTTAATAAATTCTAAGTAGTTAAATAAAACATTTAACTATGAGTTTAAAACCCAAATAAATAGTGATTTTATGTATAGAATGCAATGAATTGTATAATCATAGTGAACGTTAGTTTAATTTCAATTAGTAAGCATGAAATAGTATTAAAAATCGTTCTTTAAATTTGACTTGTTATATAAAAACAAATCTTTTAGACCAAACATCTGCAAGAAATAGAATTTCAATCGTGTTGAGTAACTTAATCTGGCCTACAATATATAAATGTGATGAGTTCGTATAAATATCGCTGAATGGTAAAGCGGAGTCGCGACGACAATACGTGTTGTTGTTTTTAATTTTTCTTTTTTTTTTCAATAACATTTCGATGAATATTCGACAAACCGTAAATTAGAAACCCAACGAAACGTTGCTTTATTATTTACTAAAAAAAAATAACACTCACTTTCGCAGAGTGTGAGTAATTCGTAATCAATGACGCCAAATGAATAATAAATTACGTACGTCCGCTTGAATTCATGATTCAGAAAATCGCACCGGTAAAATTTAATTTAAAACCTTTCTGATTAAAAAAATGCTTTGTTTCACTTCACGTTTTATTTGGATGAATCCGTGGTATATTTTACTTATTAGGGTTTTAACGTTTTGATTAATATTTCTTTTGTGTTCGTAAATTGTTGTGGGAAAAATAAGCGAGTTAATAGATTTCGTTTCGTCGATGTTCTTAATCATTTCCATGCAATTAACTAACCTAACTAAAAAATTATTAAATATTTATTGGAGAAACTTGTGCTTGTTCATGTTTTTGTTTTCTTTGCAATTTTATGTCAAAAATTAAATTTATTATTATAATATTAAATATTTCCTTTTTTAAATTGTATTAATAACCAAACTATTACAATTTACTTGTTGGCATTGAGAATATGTTTAATGGTGAATTACAAATTACAAATTGATTCATTATGAAATAAACGTTGCAATTACTTCATATTTGAGATTATTTCATGTATTTTTTTAGATTTTTTCTTATTTTCTATCTAAATTGTTAAATGTCTATACTACGACCCAAGTATTTATAATATACAATTTTGCGATCTATTAAAAAATTCAATTGTTAAATATGTGAAACTTTTGGCATGGATTTATTCACTTTTTACAAATTAGTTGGACAAAATAAAAAGATTTTAACAAAATTCTAATTAAAATGATTATGAATTAAAAGCAAACAAATTGTCTCGTGTTTGATTTTTTTAAATGAAATCTATTATATATTTATGAATAGCCAAGTTTTGCCAATCTAATATAAATCTACTAAATTAATAATTAAACATATTATTAGCATTAAATTAATAAACTAAGAAAAATATTGAAAAATTTGTATATTGAAGACTTGTAACAAATTTCAATTGACATTTTCTT